AAAAAAGCTGTTCCCCAAACCCCTGAACTCGAGCCTTATCTCAGATTTAATCTCAGTTTGAAATGAGAGCTGACTCCTGACCTCTCCCAGTTGAACCTCCCATCACCTGCCAGACTTCTTCTCTGAAATACAGCTTTTGTGTCCCCTTGTAACTGAGACTGCATTTAATTTACAGTAATCCCTTCTAGAAAAGATTGCTCTGAACTCGTGCTTTGCTGCACATGATCAATTAAGAGAGGAAAAGAGCTGATTAGAGAGACTCTGATAGCAGTGACTATTATAAACCATTCTGCATTGATTTGGGTTGTTTAGAAGGGTTTTTTTTTCACACACTGAGTATTGATCAGCATGTGAAAATGAGACATTTGAAAGGTAATTGCTTCTCCTGCAAGTCCATGCAGTGTATTGAAGATGTGGTGTGTGATCCTCAGCAAACACATTAAACTGACCCAGAGACAGAAATTCTGCTCCAGAGAGATGTGAACTCTCCAGCACATCAAAGACACTTATTTGGCAAAACCTCTGCCAGTGCTGCCTGGAAGATCAGATCCCACAGCTCTCTTCCTAATGTCTGCCACAAGCCTGACCCTCAGCTGTCAGAAAAGTATTAAATAAAAAAAAAAAAGGGGGAATCTGATGCTTTGAAGACAGGCAGCTCCACTTATTTCCTGCATCACACTGGGGTAGGTAATTCATGGCTCAGCCAAATAAGTTTGGAAAAATAATATATATATTTATGTCATTTATAACAATGTCAATAATTGCTTGCAAGCTCTTGAAAAGCAGCACTTCTTGATTTCTAGTTGATTCATTAATTTTGGGTCCACTATTGACAAAAAAAAGCCAAACATGGCACTGATAATTCAGTTCATCCCTTCTTACCTAGTGAATCCCTGTTTCCATGGGCAGGAAAAGCCAGAGGGCTCATTGGCAGGTTTATTAGAGGAGCTAATTGCATTTCTATTAATGGACCTGCTAAATTTTCTTGTTAGTGGAGTTGTCAGGCCTGCAGCAACTGTTTTGTTTCTTGTTATGCTTTTAGCCTTAGTGTTCACCAGAGGCACAAGGTCAATTTAATTAAAGATGCTAATCAGTTTGGAAATGATAGTTTAATACAGAATATGGGAAGAAAAAAAAAAAAAAGAGAAAAAAGAAAAACAGAGAAAAGGACAACAAAATATTTCCAGGTGTTCTCCACATTCCACCACAGTCTGTTGAGGAGGGAAATCCTGGACCATTTTGCACAACCAAAATCTGAGATCATAGAATCATGGAATGGTTTGGGTTGGAAGGGACCTCAAAGCTCATCCAGTGCCACCCCCTGCCATGGGCAGGGACACCTCCCAGTAGCCCAGGTTGCTCCAAGCCTGTCCAACCTGGCCTTGGACACTTCCAGGGATCCAGGGGCAGCCACAGCTTCTCTGGGCAACCTGTGCCAGGGCCTCCCCACCCTCCCAGGGCAGAATTTCTTCCCAAAATATTTGTCCCCAGAGCAGCAATCACATCTCCAACACCACTGCTTCCAGAAAAACTTCATCAGCTCCCCAGAAGGTCTCTGGTTCAGCCCCAACCCTTCCCATGTTTGCCTTCCCGAGCCTCCCTGGTGCCAGATGACAGAGTGTCAGGCACAGCCAAGTCCAGGCTGTGCTTTTAAACTCCATCATCCTCATCCCCATCAGGAAGAAATAGAGCTCCTCACAATCCTCTCACACTCCTGCCTAATTGTGATCAATCTGCTGGGGCCTCCAGAGACAAACCCTGGAATCTGAGGCTGCTTCTGAGGAGTATTTGCATTAAAGCCCGTGGTTGTCCCCTGTGTTTTGTGCAGAAATCACACTAAGAGGCTTAAACAGGAAACCTGCTCATTTTCTACACAGAACACTTTTTATTGATTATTTTACTCCCTATTTGTTGGTGCTACAATCGTGTCTTCCACAGGAGAAAGAGGAAGAAGCAAAGGGACAAGAACATGGGCAGTCTGAGGGCAGAATTCCTGGTTCTGGTTGGGGATGGGAACTGAGCAAGCAGAAAACAAAACCTGTTGTAGAAGCACAACTTACAGCACAGACCTCTGTGATTCCAAACCATTAATCATCCAAACTCTGTATGATTTCATTAAAAAGATTTGATAAGAAATCCTGTCTGTTGAATACCAGTCTCAGAGCACTAATACAGGGGGGCTCATCCACAATTCCTCTTTTTGAATGAATGAATAATGTGGATGATGTGCTTGAAAACCTGCCTCCCCCCAGCAATTTTCTGCTGTACCACGAGAGTACAGAATGTACAATACCAATTATCCACTCTGCCCAGCTACTTAAAACGTTTTGCACATGCCAGCAAATGCAAATACACAATTAGGGCATGTTTAGTTAAAAAGGCAAAGCAAGATAAGGTACAACTATTATTAGCCAGAACAAAAATCTTCATGATCTTCATCCATACCGAGGGCTAATTAGGTTTGTAAAATGTGCAAATCAGCTCAGCTGATTACTTAAGGTTTGGAAACCAGTCCTAGCTTGGAAAGTACAACACTGAGGATGCTGAAGGCTGAGGGACTGTGGGTTTATGGCCATTGTTACTGTTGTCTGCACACACAGAAGCCAAGTGTGGCAGTAATTAGCACGAGGAAGTTGTGTTAACAGGAATTAGAAAAGCAGTCACAGGAGATCTTCATGACAGATGAACCATATTAAATGTCAATTGTGTCAGATGGTTTCTGTTGCTTTATGTCTTTCTGCTTAAATGTAGGAAGTAAATCAAATTCAGCTCGTTGTCAGCTCGATTTAATGACTAAAAACAGCTTTGAGGAATAAAGGGGAAAAGGATTTTCTCCCACTCTCTTGTTGAGCATTTGCCCATTCCATATCTAGAAATGCTGCATTTCTTAGTGCTTGAGGTTGTCTGGGACTAGAAAATGCTTAAAGAGTTGGTGCCAGAGAAGATAAAAAGCAACTTTCTTCCAGGGAATTTGAAGCATTCTTTGCTGTGGTGAAGGTTTTGGTTTCGGGTTGGAGGTGATTCCCCTCATCCTGAAACACAAGGTCTGCTGCAAGTGTTGCTCTGAGATCTAAAGGCTGGCTGATAATTCTGGCTCCAGCTCCCAGTTAGTCCCGTTGCTCCCAGGACTGGGATGTGCATCCCAAAATTTGTCCAGGACACACTTCATGGGGCTTGATGTCCTTCTGGATCTGCCACCCCTGTGAGGGGCATCCACACTGGGCTTCCTGGAGGAAGCAACAGATCTATTAATACATAAATAAATAAGTTTGACACATGAAGACAAATCAGGAACCACCTCTCAACCCCTCAATAAAACATTCCTGATTACCTTAAAGCAAATTCAACACTTACAATAATAACATTTTCAAAACTATTTTTTTTTTTTAGCCAAGTAAACCGTAGCTTTATCAGGATTTCATCTCTTCATCCCCTTCTTCACTTCTTCCAAATTTTAATTGTGGTTTCTTTCCCACATCCCTCCAAATCCGAGGAGGTTTCAGCAAAGCAAAGCAGAGAGGAGCAATTGGGAGCTAATGACTGGAGCAGTCTGATCTCAGGCCCAGATAAGGCAGCCTTTGCACTTGTTAAGTGTGTCTGCAGGTCTAGGAAGCTAATTAAAGCTGAGCACATTCTTCTCATCTTACAGGTACTCTGTGTCTGTGGGATATGAGACACCAAAAAAAGACTTCTGTTTCCCTGATCCTTTAACTGTGTGTCAAAGCAAGGAGCCCTAAATGAGGTTTCATCTTTCTCGAGGTGTTGCCAAGCACTAATTAGCCTTGGGACTTTATAAAAAGGGGGGAAAGTGCAGGGAAAGATTTCCATGGAGATTGGTTTCTTGCCCACTCCGTAGAACTAAGCCCTCCACGACTCTCTTGTTAGGGGCTGCTGTGACATTTATTCCCATTTTGTGGTCGTTCCAGGGATGGACTCTGCACTTATTAACATCTGTTGCTGCTTCAGTGGATATTTTAGCAGCCTGACTTTTCTCACTCTCCAGCCAGGGCTGTCTGTAGCATCCCCAAAGCAGAGGGGCAGACAGAGCAATATTTACACTCCCCAGGTCTTTGTTACTTTGGCTCAACTAAGGAAAACTTCCATCCTGGACCGGGGTTCTCCTGATAACTGGTTTCTTACATCACTATAAAAAACAACAATAAATACTCCAGTCTCAGGGGAAAGTGGGCAGAGCTGACTCAAGCCACAGGTCCCAGTATCCCAACCTCAGTTAAATTCCCAGTGATGTAATGGGTGGAGGAGTGGGAAGTGTCCTTGATTCCCTGATAGCCCCAGCTCTACGTGCTCAAACGCTCAGGCACTTTCTAATAAAGGGCTTTGGGAAGCTGGATGTGGATTTGGCCTACCCAGATACCCACTCTGTATTTATTTTCTTTAGGTTTTACTGTTCTGTTTGCTGTGGAGGAAGGAAGTGGTGAGAGAGCCGAGCTCCGTGCCCAGCCACAGGGGCCCAGCAGTTCCCAACATTCCCAGAGTCCCGAGGATGGGCATGTTCTTGGCAGGCTGGTGTGAGCAGCAGGCTCACCTAGAGGTGCTTATGGGTGCTGTCAAACCCTTCCCAACACGGCAAAGTTGTTCCATTCCTGCCTGTGGAATTGCCCCGTGCTCTCCTGGAATGATGCAATCGCAGTCGGTTCCTTCTGTGTTTGGGGGGACTGAATCCAAAGCTTTTGGGCTTTTCTGGGTCACGAGTGCCAGACCTCAAAGTGACCTTAACTAACAATCCCTTGTTTCTCTTCCTCTTTCATGAACTTACTTTCCAGGATCAATCTCTTTCCAAAAATAATATTAATTTTGGCACCACGTCCTGCTCTGTCTCGCTCTGGTGGATGTCTGGAGCACGGAGGGTAAGAACAAAGCTCTCTGGCTTGAAAACACTTCTCCTCCAGTCGCAGTTGGGTCCTTTCCTTTACATTTGTTGCATTTCTAAGAGGGAAGATGGAGTGATTTGCAGAAAGAGAACTCCAAGCCCAGCTCTAGTGGCTGGTGCAGGATCCATCAGGGCTTTGCTGGGCTTGTTCCCATCACCTTTGGATATTCTTCAGACACGAAGGGGAATTCACAACCAGGGGCACTAATGCACAATCACCTCGATTCAACTTGCATTTATCCAATGCATTCTGCATTAAGAAAATAAATCACATAATAAGTGAAGACTAATGCACAGATAGTGGAGCACAGTGGGACAGGGATGGCAGGAGAGGCTGGTCCTGGAATGCTGTGCTCCACTTTGATGGCTGCAGTAGGAATCAGTAGCCGGAAGCTCCTGATTATAAAATTATAGCAAGCAATTAGCTGAGCATGTTTAACAGCAGAGTGACATTATTGTCAGACAGAAATTACTGCAGGAGTCAGTGGACCTTTTCATCACCTCAGAGCAAGGCTGGATGCCTTTCCAGAAGATATTCCAGGCTAAAAGCCTGGACTCAGTGAGCTGTGAATTGGGGGAAGGGATTAAACTAAGTGACACCACCTCTCACCTTAAACTTCCATGAGTCAGATAAAGATACTCATTCCCTTGAATGCACCAGCTTGAAGCCATGACAGAGTTTTCCAGGCTGGTTGGACTGCAGGGTGGGTGTGATGAGATCACAGTATTTGCTCCCAGAGCAAAAGGACGGGAGCTGGTTGCAGAGCCAAGCTCTGTTTGCAGCCTGGAGCTCTGCTGAGACCCTGCAAGGGAGAAGAGCCCCTTTGTTTTTCATTCAGCAGCTCTCAGGAAGCCTTGTCTCCTTCCCCGTCCCCCTGCAAACAACAGGGAAAGGATGTGGGCTATAAACCCTGCTGGGGGAGAAGATTCCCTGGCCATCAGCCCCTTTACCCCATCACCAAACCCTTCAAAGCTTCCCAAGCTCTGGGGACGGGTCAGCACCAACCCACCACGGCCCAGGATGGAGAAATGCTGCTGTCATTTGTCACCAGCACCCTTTGGGTTGATTTAACCACAGGAACTGATCCGTGCTGGGCTGTGATTCCAGAGGTGAGGGTGGGATGGGATGGGCAGCAGCAAAGGGATGCAGGGGTGACTGTTCCATTTGCAAAGGGCAGGGCAGGGCAGGAAGGGTGAGATGGAGAAGTGTTAGTGCTCCACCAGCTTATCTGCCGGGTGGAATTCGGGGGCTGGGCTTGAGGGCTGGGTTTTTCTTTTCATGTTTCCTGTTGACAAACATTGCTTTGCTCTTCCTCTCCCGGGGAAGGGCTGATTGCCTTCCCTCCTTCCCTCCCTCTCCACCCAAACCCTGCACAGTGCAGATGTTCCAGCTGTTGGGGCTTGGCTGAGCTGGGAGCACCTGCCCCAGCACTGGCCAGGCCTCTCCAGCACACACCATCCCAGCTTTACACCCCGAGTTTTTGGGAAGAAATCTCACTGTTTGCCCACTTGCAGGCTTGGAGTGATGCTGATTATCCCCATGGCCTCAGCAGGCCTGACCTATTTTCCCTGCCTGTGGTTTTGTGCTCTCTGGGAGCACTGGTGCTGCTGCACAGTGAAGGGCCTTATCTGAGCCAAGTACTATTTATTTATAAGAGAGATTTTTATTTAGAGGACAAGACTTTTAAGAGCAAGCAGATTTTAAGGGCAGTAAATCACTCTGTATCTCTAGATCTTACTTATCCCCTGATGTTAAATAGATGCCTCTGAGGTTTTTTTAGACTTTTCTGGTGACTGGCTGTTTCTGGACAGCCCTGGGCTGCTGCTGCACTCCCAATCCAAGGGGACCAGGCTGATGATGCCTCAGACCCAGCTGTGGCTCAGCAGCTGTTTCAGTTTGGCTGGACCTTGAAATTAGTCCATCTCCTTGTAATTGAGTTGTCAGCATTTGCTGAGGGATCATTTATTGTGTTGTCCTGCTCGTTCCCTTCCCATTCAGACAGGAAAGTCTTATACAATAACTTCACCCCATGGAAAAGGTCATGTGCAGAGTTCACAAAACATTGTCTCTGTATTCCTTTGTTTATTGCTCAGTATCCCTATGCCCATCCCATAAGCCACAAAACGGGAAGACATTTAAAAATACTCTCTGTTTTGGCACATTCCCCTTAATTTGGCAGTATTTGGGTTGAGGCTTTTGGTTTACATTTATGGGAGTTTCAGAAACGGCAGGACAAAGCTCAGCTGGAGTTTCATAGAGAACCTCCATGAATTACCACAGGTTTTATAGGTCTCCATGCAGCTCATAAATCACTTGAGGTCGACTTGAAACTCGGCCCAGGGATGCCAAGACAGCCCGGACTGACCCAGACCGCGGCTCAGACCTTGTGCAGAGCTCTGTGCCCTGCTCCTGCTCTGCCAGTGACTTTCCCATGTCCCAGCCTTCTGCCTTCACTGCTCCATCACCACCACACCTGCCCATTCCCCTGCTTGCCATCGACCCACAGGAGGTGTCACAACATCCCCACGCCAGGGACGTCCCGTGGCAGCGACAGGGCAGAGCTGTCACCACTCCCAGCAAACTGTTCTTCCCTCTCCACATATTTTTAGTTTTTGAGTGGCAGATGTGGAAAACTGAACAGGATGATCACTCAGCGTGTACCTTGTCTCTGCTGCCTGCTGGGAAGTCACAGCAAAAATGAAAAATGAGCGAGGGAGGAATTTGGAAAACACTGAATGGCTCGAAAGGCAACGGGGCAAATTCAGTCCAGCTCCACTGTGGTTTCATTGGTCTTGATAGAGCTGCACCAAGAGACAAATACTCAGATGTTCCACTGGTTTGTCAGCAGGCAACTGGTAAAAATCTTTTAGCACTTCTACTTAGAGAGGGATCATTTTTTCTTCCCACAGAACTCCTGTGGGCAGGACGAGGCGTTCCCCAGAGAGCAGTGGTGATCTCATCCCAGCTGACCCTGCAGAGAAACCTTTAGCCTGGGCATGAGCACTGAGCAGCAAGTGCTCCCTTCTCACAGCACAGTTGCTGCCTGGTGCTCCCTTTGCTCTTGCATCAGTTTACCCACCAGGGTTTCCATGGAAATTAATACACAGTATCATACCTGCTCCATCCTGCCCAGTCTGCCTTTTTTTCCACATGCCAGCCCCATAAATCCTTGAAAAGCCTCAGATCTGGAGGGTAGTAATTACCCAGTGTCTGTGGAGCAAATCCAAGCACACCCTGGGTCTGAGGAGCTGTAATTAGCCCTCAGCCCGTGATTAAGTGCCCAGTCACAAGGTGTAACGTAACCCTTGCAGCCACGGGATGTTTTCCTACATGAAAAGCCTTTGCAGGGATCTGAGGGGTTGAATGTAATTCAGCTGCTGTAAAATAAACCCAGAGGCAGATTTGAGGCCAGGTTTGTTGGTGTCAGCCCTCTCTCAACAGGCAGCTTTCCCTCCATGTGAGACTTTGGTGACACAACAAGGACCATCCTGCATGTGGGGTCAGGCAGTGGCCACGTGCCTGTTTGTGGGTCATGTCACAGATGTTTTGCTCCGTGCCCTGAGCCTCCTTCTCCTGCTGTGTGAACCTCTCCACGAGGCACAAGCTGGCCTATGGATTGGGGACTTGGAAAACATCTGTGTCCAGCTCCATGGAGGGCAGAGGGGACCAGGAGAAGCAGCAGCCCAGCTCCTGGTGAAGGTGATCTACAGTGAGGTATTTGTTCCTTTTTTCCCTGTATCCTTGGAACAGCTTTCCAGCCCACCACTGGGACGTGCAGGAATACCTGACAGCCACCAGCACCTCCCCAAGGGGATCCACCTCTCTGAGTGATGCTGGATCCAAGGACTGCAGGAATCCTGTGCGAGCACAACTGCCCTTAGGGAAGCTGTGAGACCTCTGGGAGAATTCTCTTTGTTGCAAATTCAGCCACGATCACGATTTTACCAGACTGGGAGGGGCCACAAAAGGCATAAAGGGAAATATCTAGGCTTCAAAATGACTGGGAGAAAATAGATCAGTAGGGTACAGGGGTGTGAGAGAAACAGGCTGACACTAAAAGGAAAACCCAGGGTTCAAGGGCAGGATACTGATGACCCAGCAGCAGGATAAAGGGATGTAACCACATGGTGACACACAGAGAAATACTTCAATTTTCACCTCATCTCCTAAAGCTGCCTCTGGTTTCAACCACAACCCATCACAAACACTCTGAAATTAACTGTATTGTGTTGGGATATTTTCAGCAGAAGAAACACTTCCCTCTGAAATTAAGTCCACCAAGAACTGCTTCGGAGAGGAGTCTGATCCTATTCAGAGGAGGACATGTGATTTATCCCTTTGTCCACTCCTATCAGTGAGATCTGCAGGTCCTGCCATCAGACCAATTAATTATGTCTTCCAGTGTTTACCCACGTTCACGCTGCAGGGGCTGGCAGGTTATAAAGTGCCTGCTTGGGGCAATGTAATTTCATGTCCTTCTGAAACCTCAGAAGGTACAGCAAGATCCCTGGAGCACAGAGCACTCTGTGAAGTACTGCTGAGAATAATGATAATTCATCTGCCTTGCCCAGCAGTTTTAGTTTGCATTCCAAGCGTGATTTTATGTAGGACTCTGGAATTTCTCATTAACTGTGGTACAATCATTTCTAACGAGTTTCTGAGGCGTTTTACAAAGGTTTGCAGCTGGGCCATGTGGCAAAAAGGGGTTGAAGTTGGACATAATTAAAATTAAGGCGGCTCAATAGCACTAATTCATCAAGGCATAATTGTGCTAGTTTGAACTTTAGCCATAAGACATGTCAAATGGAGACAGTGAGCAGTGACTGGTGACCTGACAGCCCTTAAAAACATCTGCAGGCACAGGCAAGACCTTCTGATGAAACCTGAACCAGGCAGTTGGAGTCAGGTGCATCTGGACATCTCCACACATCCATTTGCAGTGGATGGAAGCCTTGGAGGGTGTATCACCCAGGCAAAGCAAGGGAATGGGAAGCAACACCAGCACGATGAATAAATTCCATAATATATCTATTTTTTCCTGGAATCACATCCTACAGACTGTGCTTGCTCTTCACCTTCTGCTCTCCAGCTTCTGAGTGGTGAACTGGTACAAACTCCACAGAAAACACGTTTCCACCCTTTTATTTTCAAGGGCAGGTATTGCAGCTTCCAGGAGGACTGGAAGGGCGAGCAAAGTTGTTTTCTCCTTGGGAGATTGCAAAGGTGAAACTTTATATCTCGCAGCTGCCTCAGTCATTCTCTCGAAGGCATGTTCACCTCACTCCTCCAGCAGCACAGACCCAGCACTGCCCTCCTGGCACTGCTTGTGCTGTACTTGAGCTGAGCTCATCAAGGACAAGACCATCTTGGGCTTCTGTTGGAAAAGAGGGGTCGATGCCTCAGCTGCAAAGAAAAGGAACTGAGTCACAGCAGAGGTTGCTGGAGAGAGGATTTTTAAAGTACATCATTTTCTGTTTCCAATTCTGGTAAGGAAACAGGCAATTGCTACCTTTAAAAAATTAAATGCCGTGAAATTTCAAGCTCTCTTTGTTTCTCATAAACATCTTGCGACTTGTGACAGAGGTTGCTGGAAATGTCCCCTCAGAGCAGTGCCATGCTGGCCCAGAAGTGTTTGATCTGTGCTCTGACCTTTTCTTCGTGTGGGTTGGACTGGTCTCCAGTCAGATAATAAAATCATCCGGTCAATTGAGTTTTAAAAAATAAATTTGAGCGAGTCAGCCTTCATTTTGTGGCAGCTCTACCCAATCCATGCAGAGGAGTGGTTAAAACCAGGATCTGGCCAGCACCAAAGCACCATTTGCCAGCTGACTCCAGCTTTGCAGAGGGAGTCTGAAATCCTGAGCTGTGTGTCTTCGAGCGTTGGCTGAGCTCCAGCTCTACCTACTCCCCAGGAAGGCCGGTGGGTTGGTGTGTGCTCTGCTGGGTGTGAACCACGAGGAGCTGGGCTGTGCTCACACATGTTGGTGTCTGAGTCACCTCCACCAGGTCGTAATTCCTGATGGGAAACGTGCTCAGTAGTTTGGGCTTAAATGGCCATGCAGGTATCTGGGCACAGCCTGTCTAGGCTTTGTCTTAGAAGGTTTAATTCATCTCTAATCCTGTCTTATATGGACTTGCTGCCATGCAATGTGATCTGCAGTTATAGTACCCCTGGAGCTGAGGGAATGCCCTGACACCCACTGAACACTGAGCATCAAACCCTGTGGCCATATTTTTAGTTAAAGAGCCTCACAAAGCCACCAGTGCTTCTCAAAAGGACTTCTAGGTTTAAATCCAAATAATTTGAATGAACTTGTTCATTTCAAAGCCAAGCAGGAATTCCACCACTTTCACCTGCACTGTTGGCCCAGACTCTTACAAACAATCTCTTCCTTGGAATCTGGTGTCTCATTAAAGGAATTCTTCAGTGAGTGTCCTGAAAGTCTGGGAATAGTTTTTCTATAGAGTTCAAATTTGGAGAATGACACAAGATGCTTTTTTCCTAGAAATCTGCAAGGCTTGGAAGACAGGGAAAGGAAAGGAGAGCGGGTGTCTCCTGACGTGATGTGCTACCCTGGATGGGATTTTCCTAAGCTGTTAATCCATACTGGGAAACATCTCCATGTGTTGCTTTGACATTGCCAGGGTTGTATCAGAGACCACCAAAGTAGAGGCAGAGTCACCAGCAGTGGTGGGAGGGGACACCCAGTTGGACACAGCACCTTGGGCTTGTGTTGGTGATGGAGCCCAGCTCGTCCCTCCCTGCCCCACAGCCTGCCCCAGGCAGTGGGAACAATTACACAGCTGCAGAAGAAAAGCCAATAGCAGGACTGAAATATTCCCACAGGTTTGTCTTGATTTAAATCTCCCAGATAACATCTGATGATCATAAAATACGGTGCCAGGTGAGATAATATCACTAATTAGAGGGACACCGTGCCCAGTCTTCAGCCAACTCTTGTGAAGCTCCATGAGGTCATTCATGAATAGGCTCCAAGGAAAAAAAGGCAAAGTGTCAATAGGAATGACTTTCTTCAATAGATTCACCTGTGATAAGCACATTCCAGTGACTCAGTGCAGGATAAGTAGGTGCTGGAATTTTCACATCCACGAAACAGTAACTAGGATAGAAAAATCCAGTAAATGCCTTTTTTTTTTTTTCCCACTGATTGTATTTGAAATGAAAGATAAGCATAGGAAGTCTGAGGCAGAAAACAAACTTCCAGTGTGTGTGGATACTCGCAGTCACCCCAGGATGCTCTGCCCATGAGGTAATACCTCGCGGGACGGCGGGGGAATAAAAAAAACCCCATCCACAAAATTGCTTCCAGTCGGTTCTGAGGCAGGTCCTGAGCGACCAAACTGCCTGTCCTTTGAAACCCTTCCAGATCACATCAGTTGTGTTCTGATTCAGAGTGGAATTTGTTTTTCCCATCATGTGAGGGAGCAAATGTGCAGCCCAAGAAGGGCGATGTCAGCTCGGACGCAAACACGCTCTCGGAGGGGAACGATGCCACAGACACGCCAAGCAGAGCAGTGGGCTCAGCAGCAGGATCAGTTCTGCATTGCCTCGTGGACAAAACCATCTTTGAAGGATTAATAACAAACTGAAAAGCTCGCTGGAAAGGTCTCCCTTGTTTGTTTTGGCTTCCAGAGCATTTCTAAGTGTAATTACGAGCAATTGAGAAATGGAGAGGGTGAAAAAATCTTGTGGTTGGTTCGTGCACAGGGCGGTGGCTCAGGAGACCTGGGTTGATTTCTAACCTCTGTCACAGCCCAGTGTCACACACAGTAAGAGATTTGAATTCATCTGCAGCTCGTTCTCTATGAACAGGGCTGAAGCTGCCCTTGCCTGCCCAGTGCCTGGTTCCACAGCCCCTTGCACAGAGGTACCATGGGCCCTTCATGTCCTGCTGGTGTTGATGTAACTCAGACAGTGATAATGATACAGCCATTTTTAAGGGTCTCCTGTGCTTATATACTCATATAAAAGCCTCTCTTAGCAGCACCATGCTGCTTCAGAAGGGGAAAATCCAACACTCCTGCACACAGCTGCACGTCCTTTTAAGCCAGAGGACACAAGTGGATTTGTGCTGTGCAAGAACCAATGTCTTCATTAAGATCCATGTTTGCTGGGCAGTGACAAATCTTTCCCTCAGAACACGGTGATTAAGGTTTAATTTTATTCAGGATTACAGGCAGCTCCCTTTGCAAACCAGCCCTCGTCCAAGTGCGGGCACATATTGCCTGGAAATGAACATTCCTCTCCGACTGCTTAAGCAGCTTTGGATAAGAAATGATGGTTTCAGGAAGATTAGGAGCGTAAGAAAGGTCTCTGGGCTAAGAGCACATTAAGAGAAAGTGGCATCACGGGTTCAGGAGGAAACGTGCCACCTGTGAGGGGCTGGATCTTCCAAATCACTGGGAGAAGGTTGGTGGGGAAAGGATGGATTAGTGCAGGGGAGCATGAAAATAACCAAATCTATATGCATATGTAAATCATCAGCAGGGCCTCAGCCTGCTCAGAGAACCAAATCAGTGGTTCTGGAGGTTTTATTGCGTGGCAGCCACCAGGAGCTTCACATGAAATGAAGTTACAGGTGACAAACACAGGAGGGTCTTGCCTGGATCAGGAACTGGGTGTGGAAGATGAGCAAAGGGCTGGAGGAGAAGCAGAGCAGAGGGAAAGGAAGTGATGACTCCCAAGGCTGCCCAGCAGAGCTGGGATGCAAAACTTTGCCACATTATCCAGTTCCCTGTTCATGCAGATCCACCTCCTCTGGTGTTCCTCATGGGTACTGTCTTATTCTGCCAGAAAATGGTATTTAAATACAACATATCATTATTTATTCTTAAACACACATGTTCTTAAACACACGTGTTCTTCCCCCTCTGTGGGAGGAGGACAGTGTGGATATTCCATGAGTTTATCACTCTCTCTGCAGTGACAGCTTTGATTTGTGAAGCAGCTTGGAATAAAATGCCAGTAATTTTTCATGGAAAAACTAGTGGACATAACTTGTGCGTGTTTCAAAGAGAACAGCAGAGAGCTGAAAGGCCTGGACACACCATTATCCAAGTGCCAAAATCCTGGATGGATATAAAACTCAGCTCAGAGAAGTAACATTAGAATCATCCCTAATTAAGCAGATTCTGCTTGTTTATTGTTCTCAAGTATCTTCAGCTCTGCTCATCAATTTTTCACATTATTCCTTGGCTGTTTTCTCATGTTCAGTCTCTTTGCTGGTTTGATGTTTTGCTCTCTGGAGATTCCTTTCACAAATTTCTATTATTTCCTTAAAGAAATCTTTTTTTCACAGTTCCAAATGAGTGTTGTCACTGTGATAGGGTGTAGGGAGAGCACAGAGCCAGGCAGTGGAAACTCCTTTAACTTAATGCCATGGAAAAACCCCTCTGGCTTCCTGTCAGTCAAAGAAGGTCAAAGGCAGTCAGAGCTCCAACTCTGTCAATGGATCCTAAATCCAGTATTTAATATCGACCCCCATCTTCACAAACCCCACATGGACAATGGTGACAGTGCTCCTGACATCAGGGTGATGAAATACAACCAGGGGACTGAAATGACTTCACACAGCAACCACTGCAGCAGAACTGGAAAGGACCTTTTGTGGGTTTAAGGAGTTATTTTAGTAGTAAGGTTTTGGTAGAGGAGCTCTGGGCAGGCAGGAGGGGGGGGTTGAGGGGCAAAGCTGGACTGCCTGGGTGCTTGGGGATATTTGAGACTGGTGTTGTAGGTGTTCAAAGCAGATTTTGGGCTCACCTTGGCTCCCTGGCTGTGGGGAGGAGGTTTGCTGGGCATGTCCTGGACCAGCCCCTCACTCAGGTGATGGACCAAAGCTGACCTTCAGCTCTGGACGAGATTTTTGGTGAACCTTGTTCAACTTTGGAGGAGATTTTTCGAGATTCATCTTCATGTGATCTGTTTTAGCCCAAGTCTGAGCACAGGGTGATAGAAATGCTCCCAAAGAGCAGTGCTGGTACCTGGGGATGCCCACACGTGGAAAGCCAGGCTTAGACATCCCCAAGGCTCTGGGAACATCACTCACATGGACCTGGGACCTGCTGCCATCTCTGCCTCTGTCCCTGCTGAACCTGTGGGTGTCCCTCCTCAATTGAACTAAAATCTAAAAGCAGCACCATCAAATCAGACAAAGACCAACTGGAACATCTTGGAGAAGAGAGTGTTCCAAGTGACCCTGGTGGTATTCAGGGAAATGGTTGTGGGATGACCAGAACTCACATGGGAACTCTTTTTTAATAAAATGAAGGGGGAAGGAAGAGAACTATTCGGATTTTTCCCTTGAAAATTTCACAAAATTACTTTTCACACACTTAAATTATCTCCACCTTCGTTTCATATATGAAAAATCTGTGCCTACAGAATGAGTCAATAAAAGCCAATAAAATGAGAACAGTATGAGACAGATCTTTGGATTGTATAAATAAAGCACGGCTGAGGTGACATCATGGGGGCAACAGTGATTTATACCAGCTGAGGATCTGGCCTGTAAACTGGGAATAACTCCTTCTGCTCTGTGATTTATGCTCTCCAGTTATTGACTGCTTAGAAATAAGCCCTCTGTTATAAACAATCTGGGAAGCAAAGAAGGCAATTGTGTCTTAATGAGACCATGGTTCAAAGCACTGCCCTGGTACATTGACCCTTCTATAGATCACAAAGTCTCCTTGATTTAATTACCTTAC